CACCAATCAGTGCCTGGGTATCTGAGAAGATTTTTTTAGAGGTAATTCTTTTGGAAATGAACTATTTATAGTTCAGCATTCTGAAGGGCAGGAAAGCTCTTAGTCCCTTGTCGTGCTTTCTATGGACTCTTACTACATACTTCTTCGTATTTCTTGTCTAATAAACAACAGCAAAGTGGGTAAATAATCCCTGCACAGCCCACTGAATATTATTTCAAGTAGCACTTTGAGATTTTTAATGGCTTTAAATATACATAGTTCTAACGAAAGTGGATCACACTTTAGTGTTTTTCCTTGTTTGTCTTTTGAGTTTCAAATCTCCCTGAGGTAGCCAACTTTTTACCAATTGTAAGTAAGTCCATAGCTCAGGCTAAAATAGATATAAATTAACAGATCCTGTTGAATTCATATTATTAATCATACTTTTTTGTGTGATATGATTTAAAATGATGCAACAATGTTTTTATACAATATGCCTTATAAAATTAATACATCAGAGTAAGTTTTGGATGTAAAACTGTACTGATCACTAGGTAAGACATTACAATCATCTTCATTTTTTTTTCTGAAAACATGTTTCATTAGCAAAAATAGCAGTTTAAGAGAGTACAGAAATGATCCACACAGTTACAACATTTGAGAAATATAACTATGGGGGATAAACTATTATGCCAAACCAGGATTTTTATCCTATTGCATAAGAAACACCTGGACCACCGACTGAGGATCAGCCCCAAAGTCGCTTAACCAAGTCACCACTGAAGTGACTCTCCCATACAACTGGGCCTTTTCAGAAACATGCAGAATGAGAAGAATGGCAGTTTTAGTTAAAAATTTGAGGAACAGATAAATAAATACCTCAATAAAATATACCCATGTAAATAATTATTGGTTAGTTCCTGGAGCCTAATATATAAAATACTACTAGTTTTGATGGAGTTTTTTTATCATGAGTTTGATTTACAAAGATAGTTATACATTTATTCAGAGGGGGAAACTGGATTGTTTAAGACTTGCTAAAATCATGCAGGCAATACTTCTAGTTAGATACTAGAAATTCTTATTTAGCTTTTTTGGGTTGGTCATTTGTTTCTCTGGCTTATAAATTTGTACTTCTTACACCTAAATTGCTTCCAATTTTAGCCATACACTAACATGTAGAATTTATGTGTGTGTCTCAAAGATCACAAGATGATGCCAATGAAAATACTGACTATAAAAAAGAAACAGGAAATTGTAAATTGTCACATACACGAAAATGTAAAATTGAAATGTTTTATATATGACCTTTCACAAAGTAATCATAGTTTACCTCCTAAAGGAGATATATTTAGGAACTGTCTAATTCACCAGCAGAGATGAATGCAAACAGAAAGGTTGGGATAAGTAGTCTGAAACTCCAGCCACTTTCCAGAAGGGAATGTACAAAGGAATATAAAGATGTAGTCAAAGGACTTTCTCCACATTTATATCAAGAAAGCAAATGATTTTAGGCTCTTAAGTAATTGAAATTGTTCCCTTCAGTTTATTGTTATTTTTCTATTTGTTTTCAACTCAGAACTTTCTCATATGATACCAAAAAAAATAGAACCTGTTGCCATTACATTCTTTAAATTTATTCAGTATAAAGTGTTGGAAATGAGAAGTACTTTAGAGATGTGATCCAATTCTGTAATTTTACCAATGAAGAAATGAAGATTCTGAGGAATCTGATGTCTAATCCAAGGTCATTTAGAAGACCAATGTAGATTAGAATCCTGATCATCTCAGCATGTGTGGAGCTCTTTCCATTATGCCAAATCTGGAAAAATCTAGCACACATATTCTCCAACTAGAAATAAAATTCATTTTTCTTATTTTTCCAACTTTATTAAGAGCTAAGTATTGGAGACTAAGTATTTTGCAACTTTCTTTAGTCATTAACCAACAATGAAATTACTATTAATCAGAAATGTCCCTGGGTATTGTACTTGCAAGGCAGTGACAAAAATAAAGCCTTATGGGTCTCCTAAATATCTTATTAAATTTTACTATCGCATTTAAGAGCACTGTGGAAGAAGGAAGTTGTATGATGGGCCATAAATATTGTGTGAGAAGCATAATCTTGTCCTTGAAAGGTTCAGTTTTTTAAAACAAGTTTTGAAGAAGTAAATTTAATTACAGTGACTATCATAGGAATCTGCTAAGCTTTTTTTTTTTTTGGTACTGAGGATCGAACTCAGGATCATGTGCTTGTGAAGCAGGCGTGGGAACCACTGAGCTAAATCCTCGGCCCAAAAGATATTTTTGTTTGTTTGTTTGTTTTTGGTACCAGGGATCAAACTCGGCACCTTGCGCTTGCGAGGCAGGCAGCAGCACCACTAAACTAAACCCCTGGCCCTCTGCTAAGCTTTTTACAAGGCCCATTTATAAATTCACTAAATTTCACTTCTAC